TCTATCTATCTATCTATCTATCTATCTATCTATCTATCTATCTATCTATCTTATCTATCCATCCAGCATTCTGTCTGCATGTGTGCCTGCGCACCAGAAGAGGGCACCAGATCTTACTATAGATGGTTGTGAGCCACCATGTGGTTGCTAGGAATTGAACTCAGGACCTTTGGAAGAACAGACAGTGCTCTTAACCTCTGAGCCATCTCTCCGGCCCCATCGAATCCTAATTATTAGCTCTTCCAACCCTTCCCCCTCATGACAGAGATGCTCATTTGCACACAGGTCCCAGGTTCTGCAAGTACCTTACTCCATGGTGCCGACGCAGCGAGGGGTGCCAAGGTGACCCAGAGTGCAGTAAGTTCTGTTTAGTTTTGCTGCGGTGACAGATCACCTCCAGTTAAATAGGAGCAAAGATGCTTTAAAAGAGACTGGTAATGGGTATGTCCTCTCACACAGGAAGTAGTCTTTTTTTTTTTTTTTTCCAGTGTCAGGAGTTTGTCTTTCACTACAGGTCTCTGTTAGTAAACTCAGGGACAATGAATCTTTGGGAAGCCCCATCGAGAAAGCCAGATCTCTTTGAGAAATCTTCTCTAAGAACAATCCACGACCAAATACCTAATCCACTGCTGGCCAGACTTAGTATTAAGGAACTTACCAGAAATACAGGTTTCCAAGTTTCACACACAATGATTATGATTTCTGGGAATTAGCACAAGCCCCTACATGTCCGTTTTAAAAAGCATTAGTTTTCCACAATGTAGGCCGTTGCTAAGACTTACTTATTTATAATAAGACATGCTTATTTTGTGTGGTGGGGTGTGTGTGTGTGAGTGTCTGTCTGAGTATATGCCGTATGTGTTTGGGTGTCCACAGAAGCCAGAAGAACTGGAACTGGAGCTGGAGTTGGTTGGGCCACCAGACGTAGGTGCTGGGCATTGAACTTAGGGCCTCTGGAAGGGCAGCCAGCACTCTTGCTGCTCAGCCATTTCTTGAGCCCCAAGCTTGTCTGTAACCACATTTTGAGAAATAACGTTCTTCCTTGGTTTCAGCACATATGCACATACATTAATTATTCAACATAATTAAATAGGCTCATGCTATATTCAACATACACACATTTGCTATGTTATAGTCCACTATAATTCAATTGAGACATTTAAATTCCTGGGTTTTTTTTTTCCTATTACAAACAATGCTACAATGAATACCTTGCAGTTTAGTGTTTATACATTTGGGTCCAATTTAGTGCAAAGTAGAGTAGAACAGATATAGGGTAGAATTACTAGTAAAAGTACACAAGGAAAGATTCTGCTGAATTGCTCACTAAATCATTTGTAGCAATTTACATTCCCACCAATTGTCTAAATGCAAAAACCATTTCCAATCCCTATCAATCTGAAAAGCTAAAGAATCACTTAATTTGAATTAGCAGCATTTTAATATACCAATAACTAGCACTCTGATTACAAATGAAACACAATTACCTCATAGGCTACAAGACATAGCAGCATTTACTTTCATGAAAATTTTGTTTTACGTTTATACTGTAACCTTGTAAGACAGAATAAGAAATTAAAATACATGTTTGTCAGACAGCACTTAGAATTTTATTTTACTAAGCGATAACGGAGAGAGAGTTGAAAGGCCTACGTTCAAGGTCAGGCGTGACCCCCGGCACTTGGCACCTGCCCCCGAGGGCTTCAGTTTCCTCTTTTGTAAAATGGGGTGCTGTTGCCTTTTAAAGGTTGTTTTGAATACTTAATTTAAGTGATGAATCAGCTATTACTACCACAGTAATAATCCAAGAGAAGTTATGACTAGTTACTTATACTCTTAATGATTCTAAAATACGCATGTAGATAGTAACAGTTAGACTCTGCTTGGGGAGCCAGCTATAGGTCAGACACTCTGCAGTCACTGTCCTTAAATCAGCAGGTGCTGGTTTTTACAAGTCGTCTTTTCAGAGTAACTCAAAGTTTTTCCTAACTCTTCCTTAGGGCAGCTGCAATTACTCACATATATAATCAACTGCCACTACAACAGTTCTTTCTTATGGGGTTGGTTCCGGTATACACAACACAGATGAGGAATGCCACTGTGATCTCTTGTAGCCAAGAAATGAAAGAGTGATGTAGCCTACCGTATTGGAAGCTAGCAGCAACCCAATTCAGCCACTATCTACATGTCCACTGCAGCCAAAGGCCTGCACTCAGAGATAAATTCATATTTAAAGTTAAAGGCAGCATTATCCACTCTGCCCATGCTTCCGGTCTAACGACTTGGCCACTACTTCAAGGCTCCTGGACTCATCCCAAGGTATAAAGCGAGGGATGAGAGTCAACAGTGGGCTAATCCCAACAGGCCCCAGTGGTTCTGCTCACTCTGCTTACTCTCTTCTGCCTCACCACGCAGCTCACAGGCATTTATAGCAATTTCTAATGAAGAAAATGATCTGGAAAAAGGTTTTTTTTAAATTTAGTTTTTATTTCAACAAAACAAGAGGAAACACTTGATGTATAAAGTACTGCCTATGGAGAACGTTTATACAAATGTACAAAACTTCCAAAAACTCAACTCCAGTTTATTTCATACCTCAAACACATAAAGAGCACATAAAAATATCCAAAGTTTATTCTTAGGAATGTAAACCTTAGGGATACAACGAGAAACAAGTAGGTCAGTGAGAAGAGGTTAGCAGTCCCACATGATCAGAAGGAATGGTCAGAGGCACACAGTTAGTTCCAGCAAGAGAAAGGGACAGGAAAAGGGACAGGAACATCACAACTGAGAACCATGCCACTAGCATTCCAAGGACAACACAGCAACATCTTCAAATTGTTCACTCTTAGTCCTTTTGGATATGTGCACGATACAAAGTACAGAGGAAGCACACTGGTGTGCTCCGGTGAAGACTCGGGCAGTGTGAAAGACACATCTTTACCCTCTGTGGCAGCGCTCGGCAGCAAACCTGTAAGTGTAAGCTTGTGCAGAGTTTCAGCCTTTCACCCAGACACCGGGAAGACACTATTGTACACTCATTTCTATCTACAATGCCGTTGTATCTAACATTTTGCTTTTTAAAAATATTTCCAGTTACCATATGCTCCCTTAATGTACGTTCCTTTATGGAGGTTTAATGGGCCTATAGACTTAAACATTAAGCTGCCTTATTTTACTTTAACTCTTAGCTTAAAATCATGTTTGAGAGTAAATATTTCCCTCCATAATTTACCACTCAACATTTTAGTTATGACTTCTCAAAATAGGCAAAAATCCCTTTAAATTGGGATTATTTTCATCTATTTTGATTTAAAGACATATTTCCCTTTAATTCATCTTTTTACAACTGAGTAATATCTGCAGAGTCATTGCTTTACAATGGAAAGGGCAACAAGATGCTGCGTTTTCAAAACAAATGAGTCTTTCAGGAACTCCTGCTCCTCAGTGCTACAGGGATGGAATTCAAGAGTTCAGGCAGTGTCCCTGCAGCTCCAAAGTGCTTTCCTGAGGCTCCCAGAAGAGGAAGGGCAGCAGGACCCTTGAGAAGTCTACTCTGCTTCTCTCTTGACTTGGATTTCAAAGGCTTGTCCTCCGCACAGCTTCACAGGGGTGCAAGGGAGCAGGGCTTTAAGAAAGGGCTGAGTTAATTCATGAACCCTCATCTAGATCTTCTGAAGTATGGGGGTGACAGACCCTAGTTTTGTGGGAATTCTCTTGGCAACATCTTTATAGGAAAGTGACCCACAAAGCCACACTTACCACACTTGAAAGATTTTGAGCAGGGAAAAGTAGTGAGTACAACAATTGTTGCCACAGTTAAAATCATCCAACTTCTACAACTTTTATAAAAAGACTTCAATGTGCACAATCCTTATTTGAAATAGTATCAAAAGTAGTATAAAAAGAATTTTATTGTTACCATAACTCCATACTCCAGAAAATCAATTGGTTTAAGTCATTTGGAGCAAAACTTCAGACTCACTCCACTGAGTTAAACTGTTACAGATTTTGTAAAAGAGAACGACACATGCAAATGTGCTGTATATCAGGTAACAGTTCAAGAACAAAGGGGAGGGCCTTTCATATTTAAAACCTGCAGCGTCTGCAGCTCTGGTTTCGTTTATGACCAACAAGAGGAGATGATGCTACATTTTTATTACAGAAATAAGTGAGAACTAGACATTTAAGCTGAGAGTATAAGAAGTCAATGTCATTAAAAAGTTAAATAGCTGTCAAAAACTACAGTGATTATGACGATCTAGTATTTGTGTTTGAGGGCAGTGAGACCATTGAGAATCCTACACATTAGACAAGTAATTAGCACTCTGCAACAGTCTTCACAAAGATGAATGCATACAAACATGGGGACCTTGCTAAAATCCCAGTTTTGATTTGCTAGGTCTGCCCCTGAAATTTTAAAGTTTTATTAAGATACCAGGTGACACCAATGGTCTTTGGATCACATGAGTAGCAAATGTCTATAACACTATCAAAATGAGGTTTCAATATAGTAGCTGAACATTATCCTGATCTCTCATTTACTGCAGCTAATATTTCTTTAAACTTACTCCATGCTTAAGCAAGCCAACTTGCCTAATGACAATCTTTTAAATTTTTTCTTAATATCAATACTGCTAGTATTTAAGAAAGTGTTTAAGAAAAGTTCTTAAAGAATTACAGAAAGAACAAGAAATTCACAGTGACATTTTACAAACATTTTCAACTGTACACTAGGTTACTATTAAATTATTCCAATGTCAAGTTTATTGTCTAGTTATCTTAAAATTTGAGGACAATTGAAGCCAGCAGTTCATTTTGTTACTGAAACTCAAATTTATGCTAAAAGCACAGACCTTGGAAAAACAGGCTTACACTAGTAGGTAAACATTTAAAACTGTATCTCAAGTGTAAATGCTTTGTACTCTACAGCACATGGCGTTTTGTCATCTATATGAGCTGGGCCCATGCAGGTTCAAGAGGGGAGCACAGGCATGTTCTCGTGAGCACAGCGAGAGGCCATGAATAAGGAGGCCTTCGTGTGCTAAGGGTCAATGAGGCCAAGAAGTGGACAGCCTGCCAGGCCTCCCACTGACCTGCTTTCTCTCACTCCCAATCACTAGCTGAGCACACTGCTTTCACAGGGGCTTCAGTGACCAAGCAGACCACAGGCCCCGAGCCTGTGAGTCCATCTAGACACCACAGAGTTTAGCTTCTGCCTTACACCTTAGTTTAAGTGTTTGATTGGCAGGAGTGGGTATATAACTGAACTATTCTTTCTACATCATAACAAGAACTCTTAAAGCTCACAAACAAGAAGTACACTCTTTTTTTCTTAAGTTAAATTTAAGAATGAACACAAGCAACCCTAAGTTAATGCACAAAAGTCCTTTGTCCACATTCACTATCTTTTATTTCCTTTCATCACATTTTGTAGATGAAAAACGAATCTAGTTTCCTTCACTCACAGACAATTCACTATTAAATACTTGATGCTGGTGTCTTGGGAGCTGTGTTGTAAAATATACAGTGGTTTCCAGGAAATCTTCTGTGATGTGTGCTCTGAAGGCTAAAATACAAACTAACTGGGATTTCCAAAGTTGACCAGCACAGTGCATCACCTCTATGGCTGGCTGCACTTTAGAAACCCAAAGGGACTTTCACCCATAGAATCCAGATCAAACACTTCAAAATGTCATCTACCAACAACCTCAGTTTTGTTGTTTAATGTTCTAAGAACTGCAATAGAAAGAAATTCTCCCAACTCCCCCTTGCAGCTGTCTTGCCAGGCAACTTGCAATGTGTGCGCAAACTCTCCCCATCTTAAGGATGACGTGGTCACAGCGCTGTCACCGGGCACTTCGTGTCCTCATTGCTCTCACGGCTTCTGGTTCTCACAAGCCTGTTTAATCGGCGTGCCTCCATGGACTTGCTCCTGTATCCGGGCTCCACCGCCCAGTCCTTTCACACATACTCTCTTTGACTTCTCAGGGAAAATACACAACCACTAAAATACAGGCACTAAAAACAACCTCACTGAGAATGTAAGCAACTCAGATAACTGGCAAAAATTTATTATCACACTGACAACCTTAGAGCAATAATAACAAGTAACAGGAAAAGAGGAATAAAAGAATAAAGAACTTAAACCAAGGGGACAAGGGTACCCAAGAAATAACAAGACCATAGCTCAGCTTACTGCAAACTAGACATTATTCCCTTCATAGCCAAAGGAGCCTTCAGAACTCAAGACGCCAGGCTTCCGCCAGGACCAGGCATGAAGGACTCGGTACTTTCATAAGAGAGCAAAGTCATCTTTCCAGCTTCACGATTACAGGAGAAAAATAAGTTACACGTTAATCTGCAGACAAAGTGATGCTAATACTAGGAGGTCCCTGCTGACCTGCTTGATACTTCACTGGAAGTTCAGTCCTCTCTGACACGTAAATAAGCTTTTCTTCTTGGAGACTACAAGCAGAAAATCTATGGGCATCTGCCCCAGCAACATAGCCCACGGCAGGCGAGGGGCTGCGTGGGACTGGGGCACCGCTGACCTGTTCAAAGGATTTACTAAACACAGTGGCTGCAGTCTTAGCCAAGCCTTGGCTGCTGGGCTTGGGCAGGGACTGGCTGGAGGTTAAGGTCAGTCTCTTCAGAGAGAGAAGCTCAAGGTTCTCGCTCTGGGCTCTCTGGGTTTGTTTTCGAGCAAAGTGATCTCTGCAAGATTCCCCTGCAGTTTCTCTCTCTTTCGCTCCAGCTTTGCTTCCTCCCGACCGTCTCTGGCTCTTTCCTACACTTGTCTTGTTACTACGATTGTGACTACTGTTTGATAGACCAGACTGGCTGGTGCTAGACGCAGCCCTGGAATAAAATCCCTCGTCAACTTCAGTTATCTCCATCAGTTCTTCTTGACCTGTTAATTCTGTATCTCCTAAACAAAGAAATGACAAAGATTAATTAACATTAAGTATCTTAAGCAATTTTTAAAAGAGTAATACCAAATCAATTACATTTCAATCAATACCTAAGCAGAATTTCTTAAAGCAATGGATTACAGAACAAAAATCAAAGGATAAATTGAAACACTTTATAAATGCCAAAAAACAATTCATTGTAATTAAATGACAGTGATTTAGAGTATATTAGACCAAAAGCATGCTGTAAACTATCCCCCACTATGTTTTTAGGAAGAGTTCTCTTATTATGCATGCAAAGAGCAGAAGCAATTAGGAAAATCATCAAACATTAAGAACTGGGGATGACCTCTCTATCTTAGCTCCTACCCATGAACTTAAGTTAAAATAGAAGACTATGTAAAAAGGGTTTTTAGAAGTTTGTATTCTCCATTCCAGATACTCTAAGAATTAAAAAAGTACATTTATACACTTTAAATATCACAAGTTCAAAACCTGTTAAAATTCTATATATATTTCACTTCACATACAAGAAAAAAAAATCATTAGTTTCAAAACTTAAGCAGAAAATTACTTCAGAAGCAATTTTCTGCCTCAGTCTCTAACAAATTCCTGAGACCACATAGGGGTGATCGTCCTGAGGAGCATTAAAAGTCATTGAGAAGTTACGATGCATAATTCATGCACTTTATTAGATGTCATGCAAATTGTCTGTGATTGTGCAACTGTTGCTTGGCATGCACCAGTGCCCTTGCCTCAAGATACCTTGGGGTGCAGCTATAAAGCGCTCTGCTAAAACTGCACTCTGCCAGCTGTGGCCATTCCATCCTCCATCATTTTTCTTACAGATTTTTGCCTCCTGAGCTCGGGCAAGCCTTTGCTCTCACTTCTAGGGTCTGTGGCTGTTTCCTGCATGCCCTGCATATGCTGGGCATCCATGTCTCCTAGTGTTCTGCCTTTTTCCCCATTCCCGGGTCTCTCTCCGGACACATTTGTGACACTAATATCAGGAATGACAAGGATGCCCACTTCAGTAGCATCATGATTGCTGTCAGGTTGCTCTAGAATTGAAGATGATAAGACAAAATGATGGCTGAAGACAAAACAAAAGAAAATGCAAAACAAAAAAACAAAGACAACAAAACTGGATGACTGTATGTTATGACTTAGGCCAAACACTGACACAGTGATTTGCTTTTTTTTTTTTTTTTTTTTTTCCCAACACAGGGTTTCTTTGAGTAGCCTTAAATGTCCTGGACTTGCTTTGTAGACCAGGCTCGCCTTGAACTCACAGAAATCTGCCTGCCTCTGCCTTCCAAGTGCTGGGATTACAGGCATGCACCACAGTGCCCGGCTAATTTCCATAATTTACAATCCTGTGGCAGCATAGGAGACAACAGGATCACGCTTTAAAAAAGTCCACAGAGCATCAGTTCAATGTTCTGTGTTTTTCACACACATTTCACATGGAATATGAAACATTTTTTACAAACAAAAACAGAATTCCTTTTAAAAATATTGTGACCAACTAAATTTATGCAAACCTTAGGTAAATGCCCCAAAATATACAGGCAAAGACTCTGGCTTTTGTCAATAATGATAACCAAAGCACTTAGAAAATCCCCTTTGTACGCTTCAAATCTTATTTTTTATTAGACTACATTGAGTCTGACTTAAGCAACCATGATATTTAGAGAAATGCTAATTCACTCACGACGTCATGCTTAGTAATCTTTGTCGTTTTGTACCCTCAGTAGCTTAAACAGCAGTAAGCATTAATATGCTTATGGTAGAATTAAGCAATCTATTTCTTCAGGTTCATATTGAATCCAGAAATTTGATCTGCTTGTAACACTACACTACTAAAATGGAGAAAAATGAAAATAGATTTGGAAAAGCAAACTTGCTCTCAGCAGTTTATTCTGAAAATAGCCTCTGTAATTCAAACAAATGAACAAAGCTCATAGTGAATGGCATTATCTGCACCTGAAATACAAGAATTTAAAGTTCTCAAGTAAATATCTGTAATAAGTAGCAAAAACAACATAAATACATAAAAAAGAAAAGGGCCAGTGGTGAAATTTAGACTCCATAACAACGTAAGACAACGCAACCAAACCACAAACAGAAACGGTGCATATTCTGAAAAATGTAGCCCTCAAATCTGTTGAGAAAACGACTTTTTGTTTTCAGGGCTAGAATCATCAAACCCTCATGAACTGCACTCAAGTCTGGGCAACAGCCTGTACAGTAAAAGAGCAGAGGCTGTGGCTGGACGTGCCCGGGAGGCCAAGCTTTGCCACATGTCCCGGGTGTCCCTGGGCATTACAGGTGCCCGCTTTTACCTGAAGCAGCTCCGCTCACAGGAGGTCTGAGGTAGGACAGGCACTACAGGTCTTGAGCGCCCAGGTGACTAGTGTGCAGCCGGGTTTGGAGCCAATGCTGTGTTCTCAATCTTTCACCTTTCCAAAGTACAATTCCCACAGGGACCCAGGTTGCCACACCTAGCCACAGAGAACACTTCACATCTCCTCAAGGCTCCTGTCGCCCTGTGTCACGATCGTGACCTGATACAATTATGTCTTCTTAGCTGGTGCCTCACACACCAGTGGCCACAGGCTCTCCACACCAGGCAGGCTGAAGGATGGTGAGACCATAGAGTCCTGCTGTTCCTGTGGGTACGCTTTCCAACTAAACCTATTTCCAGTTGCTAACAGCTATTTTCAAAAGTAAGGGCGAATCAGTTGTTATCGAGGTACATGTCAGAGATCATGGCAACACAGAGTAAGGTCACCATGGCACTGTGACTTGTTCATTTACACTGTAGAAGCCACTTCAAAAAAAAACGTTATAGGGACCTCCAGTCCAAAAGGCAAATCAAAAATGTTGGCAGTTACCCAGGCATAAAAAAACTAGTTTCATAAAAATTTAAAAGAAACACATAGGCATTCTAACAGAATAAGGGACACTCAGTGACACTTTTTTTTTTTTTTAGCACATTCTCAGATATTACTATTATAAAATAGTCTCAAAACAATACAATAGTGAGACTCTGAAGCAGCCTATTTAATCCCCATTTGCATAAGAGGAAACTGAAGTTCAGAAAGTATATGACTGTTTAAAGGAGACGTCTGGTTTCAAACATCCTTTCACATATACAATGAATTCTAAGTCAATTTGTTAGAATCAACTTGACTTAAATATTTTCTGCCATCTCCAATTTGTTTAGATTCTTGGGTCATTTCAAAGAAAGCAGATAATTTACTTTGGCTGAACAAAAAGTCACAGCACGTACACTTCAGAAGAATACCCACGGCCAGTTTACTCATGTTTTTAATTGATTTTATTTGTGAGAACATGCTGATGGAAGTTAATGTTTAAAAATGGTGACTCATCAGGAGAAGTCTGCAGGGAAACTGAGAAATGGCAAGAAGAGTACTTATAAAGCAGAGCTGGCAACTGGAGCACTAGTCACTATAGGGCAGCAGTCATAGGCTAAGTAGATGTAAAACCATGAATTAAATGGAACAACAAACTCTGGTAAAATGATACATGTGGTTGCTCTAAAGGGAACTGGAATGGCTTAACTACTCATTAAATTCACAAAAAGAAGAGCATGTTATTCTGGACGGAGCACAAAAGAAAAGGATATTCTTAGGAAAATTAGACAGTAAAGAAAGATGATTATATAGCCCACGCTTTTACTACACGGTCCTTTCTTAATGTCTCCGTGGCCTCTTCCACTGTGTAATTCTGTGACTGGCCTCCTAGGGGTCCCTGCAGCTGAAACGCACAGTTTACTTCTTCAGAGCCTTTTTCATTAAAGACTTCCCTGTTGTCCTATCAAAAGTCTCAAACACCCCTCTATTTCACTTGCCCATTCCTCTGTTTCTTAAAACAAAACAAAACAAAACAAAACAAAACAAAACAAAACAAAACAA